GTATATATGGATTACGTATATTGCTGGAAAATTTACCGCAATAGCATTCAAAATGAGCTGCTTTGGATTTCAAACATGAAGACAAAACTTCAGGTAACTTTTTCAGAGTTTAGATATGCCCAAACTTTGATTTCCGATGTCCAATCTGAAGGGGGTGGGGGATGCTGTTTAGTAGGTGATTATTCTTGTGGCTGTTTTGTTCCCTATCTTTTTTTAACAGTTTATTTATACATTTTCAGTTAAACATACATAAGGCCCAATTGCATTGTATGGCTATGAAAGTTGGACCATAAGGAAGGCTGAGTGCCAAAGAATTGAGGCCTTTGAACTCTGGTGCTGGAGAAGATTCCTACAAGTCCCTTGGACTGCAAGGCGATCCAACCAGTCAGTCCTAGAGGAGATCAACCCTGACTACTCTTTAGAAGGCCAGATCCTGAAGATGAAGCTCAAATATTTTGGCCACCTAATGAGAAGGAAGGACTCACTAGAGAAGAGCCTAATGCTGGGAACGATGGAGGGCAAAAGAAGAAGGAGACAACAGAGAATGAGGTGGCTGGATGGAGTCACTGAAGCAGTAGGTGTGACCTTAAATGGACTCCGAAGGATGATAGAGGACAGGAAGGCTTGAAGGAATATTGTCCATGAGGTCGTGATGGGTCGGACACGACTTCGCAACTAACAACAACAAAGTGCTTTGTGAACAGCGTATTGTCTGAATCCATTTGCTTACATAATAGTACTTTCCCAGCTCCTAATTTTTACTTCTATTATCCAACCGTTTGTAAAACAAGTCCCATGTTTGAAAATACTCTGTATCTTCTTTTTGTTTTATCTTTAACATCAATCTATCCATTTCTGCACAATCGTAGTATTTTTTAAATTACACCTTCTTCTGTAGGTGTTGCCTCATTTTTCCAGTACTGTGCAAATACAATTCTTGCTGCTGTTAAAACATGAAATATTAAATCTATATTCCCTTTATCATACTTTTCTGGTACTATACCTAACAGAAATATTTCGTTCTTATAATCTATATGTAACTTTCACATCTTTTCTAACCATGTATGTTTAGTTTGGTTTACTTTATTGTCATTGCAAATGTACAACGAAATTAAATGCCGTCTTCAGTGTACATTATAACTATAAAAATAAAAACACAAACATACATCCTTTACATTCTATATAACTGAAATTGAAACCCCGATATTGCACTATACCGTAGAATTCAATATGGTTATTGCCCTGGGGTAGAAGCTGTTTTTCAGCCTATTTGTCCTTGTTTTTATTGTCCTGTACCGTCTGCCAGATGGTAATAGTTCAAAAAAAAGGTTGCCCAGGATGAGATGGATCTTTAAGAATGTTTTGAACTTTCTTAAGGCAGCGGGAGCCAGAAAGCTCTTCCAAGGAGGGGAGAGGGCACCCAGTGATCCTCTGGGCAATGACGTTAACCCTCTGGAGCGCTGTCCTATCTGCCACTGTGCAATTGGCAAACCATGCACAGGTGCAATAAGTTAAAATACTCTCTATGGTGCAGTGGTAGAAGGTCGCCAGCAGTTTCTCATTCAGTTGTTGTTTCCTGAGAAGTCTCAGGTAGTATAATCTCTGCTGGGCCCTTTTGACCAGTGCTGCAATGTGTATGCCCCAGGTCAGGTATGTATTTTTGTCCAATATTTCTTTGCTTTTGCACATGTCCACCCCAGGTGGTAATACATACCCAGTGTCTGGTTACATTTCCAACATCTGGCGGACATGTTTTTAAACATCTCTGCTAATCTCGCCGGTGGTAAATGCTACCTATAAAACATTTTATATATATTTTCCTTGCATTGTTCCCTATCTTATTACATCTTTGAAAATGCTAATTTTAAAAAAACCCAGTTAAATCTATTAGTCTCTGGACTGCATGCAGATAGTCCTCAACTTGCAGCCATTCCTCTAGTAATCAAAGGTACAACGGCAACGAAAAGAGTGACTTATGACTGTTTTTCACACTTATGACTGTTGCACCATCCCCATGCACCATGTCCTGAGGTCATGTGATCACCTGTTGTGACTTTCTGACAAGCAAACTCAATGGGGAAGCCAAACGCTAAATCAAATAAATGGGGATTTACTTTACAACCATGAACTGCAGTGATTCACTTAACAACTGCAGCAAGGAAGGTCACAAAATGGGATAAAACTCACTTAATAACTGTCTCACTTAGCCACAGAAATTGGTTCATAATCAAACTGGTTGTTTGATTATGGGGTCGTAGCTGTGGAAAATGGTCATAAGTCACATTTTTCAGTGCCGTTGTAACTTCGGTGACTAAATGAACTGTTGTAAATCAAGGACTAACTGCATTTATTTATTTAGATAGTGGATGAAAACTGAGTTTGTCAACTATCCTAGCATGATTCAGAATAACAGAATCGGAAGGAACCTTAGAGGTCTTCTAGTCCAACCCCCTGCTCAGGCAGAAAAGGGTATTGGTGGGACCGTCTTCTGCCGCCGATAGCCTCCCACTGACCAGGACGCTCCCACAGAGAGGGACTCCTCAGGGTGCCGTCAGCCAGGCAATGTCGGCTGGCGACCCCCAGGGGGAGGGCCTTCTCTGTGGCAGCTCCTGCCCTGTGGAACGATTTGCCCCCGGAGATACGAAGGACATCGGATCTCCGGGTCTTTCGCCGTGCCCTGAAAACTTTTCTTTTCCATCAAGCAGGGCTGGCGTGAACCCCCTCCCCCTTTTTTAGTCTTTTTTAGTTTTTTAATTTTTAAATTGTCATTGGGTTTTAATTGAATTGTTTTAAATTTGGGCCAGTTATGTAATTCGTTTAATAATTTTAAATTTTGTATTGGTATGTGTTTTAGTTCTGGCTGTGCACCGCCCTGAGTCCACTAGGAGAAGGGCGATATACAAATTGAATAAAATAAATAAATAAATAAATAAAATGTACTTTATTCAAATTCTCATCCTGGAGATGCCCCCATGTAGGCGGGTTTTTTTTGCCAACAGTACCAAAGCTCTGCCTTCTGAAAAGTTTGTTCAATTTCCCAGCTTGTTTTCAAAGTTATCTTGTTTTAGGAAACTCAGGACAGAAACATGTCGTGATAAAATAATAATAATAAAAAAAAAACTACACACCAATAATTAATAGATTAATAATATTATTCCAGTTAGTGCAGGGTAGTCCTGGACTTATAACCACGCCAAAGGTGACCATTTGAAAATAAGTATTGAAAAAAGTGACATGACCATTTTTCACACTTACGAGCATTGCAGCATTATCGCCTTATAAAGCCTTAGTAAGGCCACACCTGGAATACTGCATCTAGTTTTGGTCACCACATTTCAAAGAAAGATGTTGAGACTTTGGAAAAAGTGCAAAGAAGAGCAACTAAGATGATTAAAGCCTTGGAGACCAAAAAATTTGAAGAACGGTTGCAGGATTTGGGTCTGGCTAGTCTAGAGAAAAGAAGATTAGGGGTGACATGACAGCAGAATTCCAGTATTTGAGGGGCTGCCAAAAAGCAGAGAGGGGTCAAGCTTATTTTCCAAAGCGCCAGAAGGCAGAGCAAGAAACGACGAGTGGAAACTAATCAAGGAGAGAAGCAACCTGGAATTAAGGAGAAACTTCCTGACAGTGAGGACAATTAACCAGAGGAACAGTTTGCCACCAGAAATCGTGTGAATTATTTTTTAAGAAGAGACTGGAGAGCCACTTGTCTGAAACGGTATAGATTTCCTGCTTTGAGCAGGGGGCTGGATTTGAAGATCTCCAAGGTCCCTTCTATTCTGATTCTGATTCACACGATCAAAATTCAGACACTTGGCAACCGATTCACATTTACGACGGTCGCAGGATCCTGGGGTCCATCTTGCGATCACCTTTGCAAACCTTCTGGCAAGCAAAGTCAACGGGGAAGCCAAATTCACTCAACCATGGTGTGCATCAGTGGTGGGTTCCTCCCGGTTCGGCCGAGCCGGTAGCGGTGACAATATGATGTCACCGAACCTGTTCTCCCCCCCCCGCCCTCCCCCCCACCCACGTTATTCTTACCTTTTATTTGGTCCCACCCCCAATCTATTGCTGCCTCCTGAGTCCCAGCTGATGACTAGAGGGGAAAAAACTGTTTAAACTCTTGCCCTGGGGCTTCAAAGGGCCGCCCTACAGCTGATCAGTGTTAAAAGCAAACAAATGAGTCAGGTCGTAAGTGCGAGGACTGGTCGTAAGTGCGAGGACCTTCCAGAAATGACTCTGGCCAGCTAGCCACGCCCACCTAGTCACATGACCTCCAAGCCACACCCACAAAATAAGCCACGCCCACAGAGCCGGTAGTAAAAAAAATTAGAACCCACCCCTGGTGTGCATACCAACTTAACTAACACCGTGATATTCACTTAACAACAGTGGCAAGAAAGTCACAAAGCGGGGTAAAACACACTTAACACCTGTCTCATTTAGTTAACCGAAATGCTGAGCTCAATGGTGGACATAGGTCCGAGGACTACCTGTAGTGGAGAAAGGTGTTTAGAGGATCAGACAAAGTCATTTGGCTCAATGGCTCTTTTTAGGGTTTGACTGAGATTTTTTTTTTTTAACAAAAAAGGGGGGGAGTGTTAAGGAATCCCATCCCCCTTCACGTTCCATAGGGAAAAGTGGAATATAAATCCAACACATCGATAATAAATTACCAGCAACCTTTCAAAAAATCCAGTCTGTGCAAAAATCCGTTTGGAAGAACCTGCAAAGCAGCTTTTAAAAACCAGCCTGCATGCAAAAAAAACACTTAAAAACTGACAGCCACTCAACATATTGACCGTAGAAAAGTTGCGCGCAGTTTAAGAACCGGACTCTCCCTACAAGTCCGTCCTCCCCCGGCTGCCCAGTGTGGTTCCTTTCTGGAGTCCCTGCGTCGTGTGAACCCGGCCCCAATTCAATACAGAACTTTTCCCGGCAAACCATGGTTTACCGTCCCCGCCCAACCCCGGCCACGGAGGAACCGCTCCGCGTACCGCGTAAACCCGGAGCGATCCCATCTCATACTCCAACTCCCATCGCTCTGAGCCAGCTCGACACCCAGGGGGGAAAGGAATCGTCTTGTCCGGTGCATCCGGCGAGCGCCAGCTTGGGGAAGGCAGCTTGGCAGAGCAAGTTTTTCTTTTTCTTTCTTTCTTTCTTTCTTTCTTTCTTTCTTTCTCTTTTCTTTCCTCCCTCCCTCTTCTTTCTTTCCTTCCTTCCTTCCTTCCTCCCCTCCTTTCCTCCCTGTTCTTCTTTCCTCCCTCCCTTCTCCTTCTTTCTTTCTTTCTCTTTCTTTCTTCTTTCCTCCCTCCCTTCTCCTTTCTTTCTTTCTTTCCTTCCTCCCTCCCTCTCTTTTCTTTCTTTCTTTCTCTATCTTTCTTTCCTCCCCTTCCTCCCTTTCTTTCTTTCTTTTTTCTTTTTCTTTCTTTCTTTCTCTTTTCTTTCCTCCCTCCCTCTTCTTCTTTCCTCCCTCCCTTCTCCTTCTTTCTTTCTCTTTCTTTCTCTTTCCTCCCTCCCTTCTCCTCTCTTTCTTCTTTCCTTCCTCCCTCCTCTCTTTTTTCTTTTCTTTCTTGCTTTCTCTATCTTTCTTTCCTCCCCTTCCTCCCTCCTCTTTCTTTCTTTCTTTCTTTCTTTCTTTCCTCCCTCCCTCTCTTTTTTTTTTCTTTCTTTCTTTCTCTATCTTTCTTTCCTCCCTTCCTCCCTCCTTTCTTTCTTTCTTTTTTCTTTCTCTTTCTTTCTTTTCTCTTTTCTTTCCTCCCTCCCTGTTCTTCTTTCCTCCCTCCCTTCTCCTTCTTTCTTTTTTCTCTTCTTTCTTTCTTTTTCCTCCCTCCCTTCTCCTTTCTTTCTTTCTTTCCTTCCTCCCTCCCTCTCTTTTTTCTTTTCTTTCTTGCTTTCTCTATCTTTCTTTCCTCCCCTTCCTCCCTCCTCTTTCTTTCTTTCTTTCTTTCTTTCTTTCTTCTTTCCTTTCTTTCTTTCTTTCTTTCTTCTTTCTTTCCTTCCTCCCTCCCTCTCTTTTTTCTTTTCTTTCTTGCTTTCTCTATCTTTCTTTCCTCCCCTTCTTCCCTCCTTTCTTTCTTTCTTTTTTCTTTCTCTTTCTCTTTTCTTTCCTCCCTCCCTCTTCTTCTTTCCTCCCTCCCTTCTCCTTCTTTTTCTTTCTCTTTCTTTCTTTTTCCTCCCTCCCTTCTCCTTTCTTTCTTTCTTTCCTTCCTCCCTCCCTCTCTTTTTTCTTTTCTTTCTTGCTTTCTCTATCTTTCTTTCCTCCCCTTCCTCCCTCCTCTTTCTTTCTTTCTTTCTTTCTTTCTTTCTTTCTTTCTTTCTTTCTCGCCCTCTCACACACACACACACACACGTGTTGTCGGAAAAGCCGCCGAGGACGCGGAGATCCGATCTGCCCCTCGAAGAGGCAAAAGAGCCCCTGGGCTTTGCAGGTGGGCAAGCGGCTTCTCCTCCGGGGCCAGGGGCTCCCCCACCGCCCCCTTCCTCCATCGCCTGGCCACGCCCGCGGAAACACACCTGGAAAGCGCCTCTAAGCGGGCTTAGCCTGCGCTCGGCTGGGGCTGGACCGGTCGGAGCGAGCCGCCCCTGGAATTGGGCAACGCGGTTGGACTTGGCTGGGTCTTTGCAAGCGGGCGGGGCTCGGCTCGGCAGCCCCGCCTCTCCGCTCCCCCGCCAATGGGAGGGCAGCGGGGACTGGGAGGACCCCCGCCGCGCCCCTCCTGGGACTCCGAGCGGAGACTCACTCGCGCTGCGGCCGCGCCTCCTTCCCTTGCGCTTTCGCTGCCTCTCCCTTCCTTCGCCCGCTTTGGAGATCAGAGTTTATTTAGAATGAAAGGACGGGACGGGGGGTCCTCAACTTACGGCCCCGCCGGGCCCCAAAAGTGATGTTGCTAAGGGAGAAGTTTGTTAGGGGAAAGGTGTGTTTGGAAAAGCTTTTGAACCAAGAAAACAACGCCATGGATCGTCAAAACAATGATCAGGTGGAAATGATTATATTTTGGACACGTTATGCAAAGGCACAGGTTTATTGAGAAAGCTATAACAGTGAGAAAGAAAGAATGTGTGTGTGTGAGAGAGAGAGAGAGAGAAAGAAGGAAGGAAAGGAAGGAAGGAAGAAGGAAAGAAAAAAGAAAGAAAGAGGGAGGAAAGGAGGAGGGAGGGATGAAGGAAGGAAGGAAAAAATAAAAGAAAAGAGAAGGAGGAAGGAAGGAAAGGAAGGAAGGAAGGAAGGACAACAGAGGAGGGACCCAGGGAAGGAGAAAGAAAGAAGAAAGAAAGAAAGAAGACAGAGGGAGGGAGGGAAGAGAGAAGAGAAAGGAGGAGGAAGAAAGAAGGAAAGAAAGAAAGAAAAGAGAGGAGGAAAGAGTAAGGAAAGAAAAGAAAGAAAAGAAAGAAAGAAAGAAAGAAGAAAGAAGAAAGAAAGAGAAAAAGAAAGAAAGAAAGAAGACGGAGGGAGGGAGGGAAGAGAGAAGAGAAAAGAGGAGGAGGAAGGAAGGAAAGAAAGAAAGAAAAAAAAGGAGGGAAGAGTAAGGAAAGAAAAGAGAAAAAGGAAGGAAGGAAGAGAAAAAAGAAAGGGAGGGAGGAAGGAAGGAAAGAAAAAAAAAAAGGAAGGAAGGAAAGAAAGAAAAAGAAAGGGAGGAAAGGAGGAGGGAGGGAGGAAAGAAGGAAAAAATAAAAGTGAAGGAGGAAGGAAGGAAGGAAGGAAGGAAGACAGAGGAGGGACCCAGGGAGGAAGGAAAGAAAAGAAAGAAAGAAGACAGGGAGGGAGGGAAGAGAGAAGAGAAAGAAGAGGAGGAGGAAGGAGAGAAGGAAAGAGAAGAAAGAAAGAAAGAAAAGAAGGAAGGAAGGAAGAGTAAGGAAAGAAAAGAGAAAAAGAAAGGAGGGAAGGAAGGAAGGAAGAGAGAGAAAAAGAAAGGGAGGGAGGAAAGAAAGAAAAAGAAGGGAAGGGAAAGAAAGAAGAAAGAAAGAAAAAAGAAAATGATGACCACAGCTAGATGGAAAAAGTGAATTACAGCAACAGTGACCATAACTGACCATAACATAAGATCTGAAGAAGAAGGCTGGGTACACCTTGCCCTGGAGAAGATCTGTCTGTGTCATTACTAAGAGTTGGGACTGACTTCATGCTACGTAATCAGTAAAATAGATGTACCCTATGCAGATAGATAGAAGAAAACATTTGTCGTTCAGAGTTGAACTGTGGAGTCCTTGGTGCTCTCTGAGCTTGGTGGTTTTCGTGCAGACGTTTCATTACCCAACTAGGTAACATCATCAATGCTAGAAGGGGTGGGGTTTGCTCTCTGTTTATAGCCCTGTATATTAATAGAGAGCAAACCCCACTCCCTTCTACTGTAGCACTGATGATGTTACCTAGCTGGGTAATCAAATGTCTGCAAGAAAACCACCGAGCTCAGAAAGTACCAAGTATCCTACACATTGTGTTATTGAAGTTGCTTTATTTATTTCTCTCACTTATGTACATATACTTTACACGCCTCGTCTGACTAGCAGAAAGGATAAGCTGCTATGCTGATTTATGATCAGTGTAACAGATATTTGGAAATCTTCCTCCAATTTAATGCCAACTCAAGTGCATGAACTACAAATAAGAATATTCTCACGCCTCGCCCACCCTCTTTGTCCCAAGGCAAAAACGAACCACAGGTAGGCCTTGTTTTACGACCGCAATTGGGCCCCAAACGGGTGAAATCCAGCAGGTTCTGACAGATTCTGGAGAACTGGTAGCGGAAATTTTAAGTAGTTCGGAGAACCGGCAAATACCACCTCTGGCTGACCCGAGAGTGGGGTGGGAATGGAGATTTTGCAATATCCTTCCCCTGCCACACCCACCAAGCCACACCCACCAAACTAAGCCATGCCCACCAAGCCATGCCACGCCCACAGAACCGGTAGTAAAAAAAATTGAATTTCACCACTGGCCCCAAATGTCTGTTGCTAAGCGAGACAGTTGTTAAGTGAGTTTTGTCCCACGTTACGATCTTTTTTGACAACAAAGTCAATGGGGAGGAAGCTAGATTCACTCAATGACTGCACGATTCACTTAACAACCGCAGTGATCAGCTTGATGACTGCGGTAAGAAAGTTTGTAAAACGGGGCAATGTTCACTTAACAACTGCCTTTGCTTAGCAATGGAAATTTTGGCTTTGATCACGGTCATAAGTCAAGAACTTATCTGTATTGTTCTTGTCATGAACTGGGAAGGCAAATTTCTATTTGAAGTCAAGAATAATCCCTAAAATAATTGTTGCAGAGCAACTGATTTAAAGGAAGGCTTCCAGATTCTAATTTCTAATAAAAACATTTCGCCTTCTATTTGGAGAGCTGAATTCTTCTGTTGCAAGAAATGTCCTCCTGGGTTCAGTTCCAAGTGGGGAAGAAAGACACTGGAAACATGGAGACTGCTTAGTAAGATGGTTTTAATGGTGGACAGGATCACATGCCTTGAAGATCTTGGGCGAAGAGAAAAAAAAGGGAAGAAATGCCGAGAGGGCCTGAGTTTTATACCCTCTCTGGGGTTTTTGAATTTAACCTTGTGTTCTGATTGGTTGTCAGACTCCCATGGGGCCATGCAGGCGTAACTTTGTAGGTTGCCTGGGTCCCAAGTTTGGTTGAGCCTTGCTGGGTGATGATGTAATGAAAGGGGCTTTGGGCAATTCCTACTATGGCTCTGCTTGAAGGAGGTAGACTGGCCCAGGCCTTAATGGCCCATTGATAAAGGTGTGTGTGTGGGGGGGCTGAGTTTCTGCCTCCCTTTTAGGGGAAATATTCTGCCCTTTTTATATTTCCTAAAATATCTCTTTTTTTCTAGGAGAGGGGTGGGTGCTAACTTCCTACAACACCCGTCAAAGTGAATTATGTCTTGGTGAAGTTGGGCCTTCCTTCCCCGGACCTGATATTTCATATTTAACACATGACACCCTCTCCAGCGAGACTTTCGTTTGTGATCTTTGATGCCTTTCATGCAGAAAGATCATTGTGCTACAAGGAAATTCGTGTTTTATAAGACGTGCATCTGGCACTTTGCCTTAGAATCAGGAAGTTAAATTGATGTGTGTTTGTTTTCGGACAGACTCATTACATTTATTTCTCCAGTTTGAAAATGGAATGTGGTTGCACCGGTATTGGGAACAGAAAAACTCGGGGTGGAGAAGGGCTATTCGAGTTAAAACATTTTCAACCCAGAGATAAGAACTGGCTGAGGG